ACGCGTTGGAGGTGTTAAACCATTTTGTGGGAGATTCGAAAAATTCAATTATATCGCTTAGTGCATTAACCACAAATTCATCAAACAAACTCATGTACATGTGTACATACATAAATTTATCTGTACAAGCGATGCGTTGAAAAATTTGTAGTTTTGCAAAGTTTTTAGCGAATTTTTTAGTGAAACTGAAAATCCCTACTGACGCTTATCGAGCGTTTTGTCGCCTCTGCTATTTTATTTGGCAATAAAAACTATGTGCTTATATGTGTACAAAGTACATATTTTCTTACATAAATATGTTTGTATATAATATTATATTGTATTTAATTAGAATTTTTTCACTGTTTTCTGAACCATTTAAAATAAAGCAAACTTACGCAAACCTCACAAGCCCACACATACGAGTAAGTATGTATGTATGTATGCATTCGCGAGAGTAACAGAAGCAAACATTGAGATTTTTCTTTCCCTCACTAATACATAAGCGTGTAATAAGTAACAGTTGTGTGCGGTGTTTTAATGTAAAATGCGGAAGCGGAAGTTTTGAAATTCACCACACAACAGACGGGCTCCAACACACATGCTAATGAGCGCAACCCCTTTCTTTCTTATATGAAGCAAATACTCACCACATTTCACGCATGTTTGCGTGAGTTATAACAGGCAAATGTTAAAATGTTAATTTATTTACAACTGTATTTCTCTGTCAGTGTTGCGCATTTTTTTAACAGTTTATTCTTAGCATTAACAGCACAAAAGTTGTCAACAGCAATTTTACAGAATATTTTTACTTAAATGTTTTCTGGGCATTGGAGAACTTCTGTTAATTACAAGCTCGACTTTTTAGCAGCTTGTAATAAATTTATACAAACAAAAAGTTATTCAAGAAGACGATGTGTTGATTGATAAATATGTTGTTAAAAATGAGAGTGGGGTAGGTCGACTTTCGGCAAAAAATGTGTAAGTAAAATAATTAATTAATAACTAATAATTTAAAGAAATGTAAAATTTAAGAAATTCTATTAGGTTATAATGAACAAGCATACATTTCATATGAAAAAATAAAAAAGTATTATTATCAAGCACACTCGAAATAAAATGAGTAAGCTATTTCTTTAATTAGTTGCTACCTTGACTTTGGCTTTACAAACGTCAATATCTTTATTGCTACTACAATTGTGTAAGAAACTTTTTTTAAAGTAAACATTAATTTCCATTGACTTAACTGGTTGTACATACATATAAATGAATGTATGTGCACAGGCACATATCCACACATTAAAATAAAAATTTGTACAAATATTTTAGTACTCTCCATTAACGTCAGAGGCTGGGCATATGCAGTTTTCGGTGTTTTGTTGTGTTTTCTCCATCTGTTATGCTTTTATATAGTTCTGTATGGGAAATTTGATAATATCTTTCTTTTAATTGGCATAAGTACCATTTGCAACTTTCGCTATTTCTTTAGTGTTATTTATAACAAAAATTCTTACTCCACTTCTGAGTTGTCTCACCAGGCTCTTAAGTGGGGGTTTAATTGTAAAAAGAAAATTTTTCTCATTTGCCTGAAAAATTCCAGAAAGTATTTTTTCCGTTTCCATAGTCTTTAATTGAAACTTACTTATTTTACTGGCGTAGACACCGCTTACGCCATTCATTCCTTTGGAGATACCAAACGAACGGTGCGGAGATTTTCCGTAAATTTACCGTAAATCTTACACAAAACTTTTCTCTTTTGAAAATACCTAACGCCGACTTATCATATGTTGTCATCATCCATGCTTCCAGGACGACATGGGACTTGTTGAGTTTGGAGGACTTTACTTTTCAATTGTCTACTCAGTCCAAAGAAGCACCTCTTGGCAATAGTGATTCTGTGTTGAATTTCCAGGCTGTTATTGTTGTTGACGTTAATACTGGTTTCAAGATAGACGAAGTTATCTACGACTTCAAAGTTATGACTGTCAAGGTGACCTGGAAGCCGATTCGCGAATGCGATGATTGCTTGTGTGTTGACAGAAGACCCACTACCAGACTTCTTCCCTGATAATTGGCGCAAACTGTGGGGTCCTTTTTTCATGGATTAGGCAGAGCACACTTAAATATCAATCCTCGGGCATGCTTTGATTGACCATATTCTGCGAAGTAACTGATGCTTGCAACTTGTCTGCTATTCACCGCCATGTTTGAATAGTTCTGCCGATTGGCCGTTAGCTCCTGCCGCTTTGTTGTTGTGTAAGCGAGTGATTGCAATTCGGACATCTTCATGGTCAGGTAATGCTACGTCTTTTCCATCGTTATCGATTGGGGTTTCGATGACAGGAGTCTGCTCTGGTCTTGAAAACTTTTGTAAGTCTACGTATCTCCTCATAGAATTTTCGGGCATTACACTTAACGAAGATCTTCTCAAGCTATTCATACTCACGCATTTCGGTCTCTTTTTTTTTTTTGTCTGCAGATGCGTTTTTTCTCCACTGTAATGTGTAATGTGTATATAGTCTCGTTTGCAGCTGTACATAGCAAGCTTGAAATGCCGTTCCACAGTTCCCGTGTACCGAGTAGCTGATGAGCGCAGGAGTGCAAGTCAAGTAGAAAATCGATCGGTAATTGCAGCTTTTCGACGCCGAACTTTCCTTGTGTTTGTTCACTGGCGTTCTTGGATACACAGAGGCGCATGCGTATCATCGCTGCAGCAAGATAGTGGAGCGAATCGATATTGGGTCCTCGGAGGTTTTGTGCTTTTCAACAGATAAAGAGAATATGCGAAAATCTCTTTTTATATTAAATATTGTATAATAATGCGCATTGGCTTGGAAAATTGAACCTACTTCGTCGTTAAACGTATGATTTCGCTCTTGTCGTAACTTTGTGTTCTATAAACCTTGGTTCATAACAGAATTTTTATATTGAACTATATTAAAATGTTAATACTTAGTGGCTCTACCACAATTTTTTATTACTACAAATCATCTACGGTGCATGAAGTCGACTAAGCTTTGGCACCTTGACTGGTATTGAATACCAAGCCACATTTATTTCCTCCCATAACTCCTTAGTTGTTTTAGGTTTTAGTAAGAGCAGCAAATTGAAATTGAAAAAAAATGTCCTTAAATTATGCATTTGCATGCAGTATGCAACGAAAAAAAAACTTTAACATGCATTTATGTTAACGTTTGCAGCGATGCAGCAGAACAAGAGCGAATACATCTCTGCTGCAATGTAAACTGCACTGTTTACTAACAGCAGCCAGCAACGAATGCGTTAACTGGTAATGCAAAGCATGCGCTTAGTTGACAGTTGTCTGCTAGACAGCCATGTGAACAGTGTCAACGGTTGCTGCTGCTGTTACTGCTGTTGTTGGTATCTCAGCTGCCATTGCGGCCGGCTGCATTGAAGCATCGAAATGGGAAACTGTTTAGTCGCTTAGGAGCACGCACTCGAATGACAACGTTTAGCGGATATGCGCGAGTCAACGGCGAGTTCAAATTATTTAAATTTCACTCATGAAAAAATTACGGACTGCAAAGAGAACGGAATTTTCAAGCATAAATAAAATCAGTGATAACACCATAAATTGTTAAACAATAAATAAAAGTAGTGAAGGCATTTCAAATTATGTACTTAACAATATAAATTTAGAAAAATGTTTTTATTTTGTGAATTTGTTCAAAATAATGAGAAGTATTCGATTTTGTGCGTGTAAACGTGTAAGAAGTTTAAATTAAATGAACAATTGGTAATTGTGATTTTTAATTGACGTCCGAAGGTAAAACATTGAAAGTTGTTAACAGTGTTTTAATGCATTTACTCTTCAGCAATGCTTAATTTAAATTAATTAATGGAAAAATGTGCTGTTTTACATATAGACTGATTTCATTACTTATTTTTGTGTAAAAGGATTGTTGGCTGCTGTGAAGGAATTAGAGATTAAATTAAAAAAAAAATAGTGAACGCAATAGAGACTGAATTAAAAAAAAAAACAAATTGGTGCCAATTAACCTTTTTGTTCATTGTGCGCATATCACTTTGCATGAATTCATAGTTACGATGGGATTATTTCAACGTTGCTTTAAAATATAATTCAATTAACCATAAAATACGTGCCGCTATAAAAAGTGAATTTTATATAAAAACAATAACATTTTGCCTATTAGAAATAAAACTTTATAAAAGCAAATGAATACAAAGTAACAAAAATTTATTAAATAATAGTACTGAATTTTTAATTATTAAAAATAAAAAAAAATTTCTCATTATAAATAATTTATGAAATTGCTCTGAAATTCCAATAAAATGCTGACAGTGGGAAGAAATCAATTTTTAAAACGCTTTTAAGAGTGAAAAATTACAATAAATAAGGTAGTTTTTTATGAAAATTCAGTAATTAACAAATTTCAAATTTTAAAATTTTCGTGATTTTGAGTGAAAGCAGTTTACTTTTTGAACTACTTTAGTAAGGTATTGAAATAGAGTATGTTAACATATGTAATTTTTTTTATTAATTTTTCAACAAAGAAACAAAAACACATTGCTTTTATTAAAGAAGTTTAGATAACTATGAAATGATAAAGAATTTTCCATTCATAAATTTTTTTTAAATTTTTTTTTAACTAAATTCGGGTTGTGAAATAATTAGTATTCTTAAAAGAACTTAAACGTAATTTTTCAATTATCTTCGAAAAATTTATTTAAAAATACAAAAATTTAAATTAAAAGTCAGATTCCATTTAATAAAAATATTTCTTTACATAAATTAATGTTTTGAATAATTGGAAGATGAAAAAAGGTTTAAACTATGGAAGAACAGTTTTTTTGCTTTTGGTTTCAAAAAATAATAAAAAAAATTTGTTTGATGTGTTAAATTTTTTTAAATACTACAAGCACATATTTGATTTTTTGACCAATTTTGCGTTTTCTAGAAATAAAATAATTGTACAACATATATATATATATATATATATATATTGGAATTTTTTAATACAATTTCAAATCATATAAAAGAAATAAAAAATATTTTCTTCAAATGTTATGAAATAAAACTATTTTGCATCAATTTCCGTCGACGCCCCTCTTCTGTAATAATACTTTAAACATATTTAAAGGTATTAAAAATAAAATTTTACAAGTCAAGCATAAGTCAAAACATATAATTATTTGCTTAATTCATAAAAGTTTAGTGAAAAAATGCAATAAATAAAATAAAAAATTGAAAGCGCAATGCTAAAAATTTCTTGCAACCGTAATTGTGTAGAAAACAACTGTGAAGATTAGAAAGTATTAAAGCATTGAGTATAGCCGAAAACAAAATAGCAATAAAACAATTAAAGAACACCAAAAACAAAAACAAAAATAGAAACAAATAAAGTTAGAAACAAAAAATAATGCTTACAATTTAACGTGTGAGTGCCACTAAGCCGCACTGCCCTGTGAAATGATACAATTTGTAAGAAGTGTAGCATTGGCAACAACAATAGCAACACATTAACAAATAAAAATTTTAAATTAAATAAAGAGCAAAGTGACGAAATACAGACAAACAAAAGCTGACAAGATACATTACTACATTCTAGTCAATTCCGACAGACACGCAGACGGGCAGAGAGGCAGAGAGGTAGAAAGGTAGAGAGGTAGAGAGATGTTAGCTACAGCCGACACACATTTATGCACATACCAATGCAGCTACATATGTATATCCATATGCATATGCGTATACATAAGCTTATAGAGAGCAAATTAGATACATATCTATATATTTGCATATACTATAAACATATCTTTAACAATATGTATTTATATATGTATGTGAATAGATATTAAGATGTTAAAGAATTAGTACATGCATCTAACAAATGTACGTATGTATGTACATATGTGCATATGCGCGTTCAACGTAGTGTAGCCCCAAGTAGCGGGTGGATGGGTAAACAGCAACTTTGTAAAAGTTGAAGATACTTTGGCGGCTTATAAACACACACGCATAGGCGTATATGCATTTACACGTGCGTGCATTCATACATACATATGGGTGTACATTCATACGTATGTACATATGTATGTATGTATGTACATATATGCTGTGCGAGTATTTGTTTATGTAAATGAAAAAATAAACCGACCGGCAAATGCGCGTACTTAACACGGCGAGAATAAAAAATATAATATAAAGTAAAGCAAATAAAAAAAAAAAACAAAAATAACAATTCAGATAAATGAAACTACTTAAATTATAAGAGAAAAACTAAATCAGCGGCACTAAGGAACACACACTTATGTACATTTATATGTATGTACATATGTAAGTCTCACAGATACACCCCTCGAGCATAGAATTGCAAGAAAAGCAATTGAAAAGTGTAACATTTGCCGCGCATCCTAACCAACTGCCCAAACAAACCCACCAGCTACACCCGCACACTCCCCAACATACAAATACCTATACAGAAATGTATGTATGCAATACTCGCAGCAGGCGCGCCACAAAAAATTAACATCTCTTACAGCAAACTCGCTATCCAACACACGCCGACCGAACAACCAACCGGCCAACCGACGAACCCACCGACCGATTCACCACCCAACCAAGCAACCACTAACTAAAACGCACTCAAAAAATAGACGAAAAAATACAATACCACACAGAAATACTTATCTCACCGGCAAACAGCCGAAAATCCAATAACGAACTCTTACAAACCACTAATAGCAGCCAAAAAGCCGACCGAGCTAGCCGGCCATCGTCAGCGCCAACCCAACCATCCGCCTGCTAGCTACCAGCTCGACAACGAACGCAGACGCGCGGCCCAGTAGTCGGCGAAAAAACGAGCAATGAGCAGCAACGAAGCACGCGTCAAGCGAGAATGAGTGAGCGGTGGTAGCGCGGTGGTGCGTAAATACACGCATACAGGCACAGAGCACCAAACGAGCAAGTCACCAAAACGACACAACACACACACAAACATAGCATGCATAAGCACGAGTATGTGGAGCAAATTTCAAGCAAGTAGCGCTGAGCGTGGAGCGTTTAACAACCAAATACCCTTGTGTGCGCGTGTGTGTGTCTGTTTCGTGAGCGCTTACGCCTCGGAGCTACTTGTCGTCTGATTGACTTTACATCAGTATGCGGGCGCGTTCCAAGCGGTATGGTGCGTTTAAGTAACCGAAATTTTGGCAGTAGTAGTAGCCATGGTGGCCGACAAGTGTGAAAGATAAAATCAAATTTGAATTTTGAATTGTGATTGTACAAGCCAAAGTCGAAAAGTAAACAAAATCTGAGCCATAACAACAAGCCGTCAGCTGTTACAGTTTAAAGTGCTAACGAATAGATGCGAAAGTGGAGTTAGGCAGCAACCTTTTCCCTCCAAATATCGCCAAAATATCATTGAGTGCAGTGCCATAGTGCCAGTGTTTAAGTTTCCCAGTTTTTGGCTCGGTTTAATAACTTGCAGCAATAACGTAGCGATCAGCCGATTAAGTGACACGAGTGAACGCGGTCGAAGTAAAAAAGGCGCGCGTAAGCGAAACAGCGGCAATTATGCTGTCCGCTAGAGTGGATGCAATGGTGGCAAACAGCGGCAGCGCAGCAAAGGCAAGCAAGGCTCTAAGTTCCCGATGTGACTGTGCGACGAATCTAAAATGTAGATGTTAAATGTGCGTTCAATTTTTCAACTAAGAATATTTAAAAAAAGATTTCGAAAAATTAAAATATAAAAAATTGTTTGCAATTAGAAAAATAATTTAATTAAAGTAATTGAAAACAGTTTTGTGGCAAAGAGGCTATTGGCGCTTCATTTTCTGCGTTTTTAAGAAAATTAGTGACCAAAAGTGAATTTCAAAAAAATTTTCCAGCAAAAAAATTTTACTTAGGAAATAAAAAAGAAAAAATAATAATAATAATAGTTTACATGAAGTATGAAAGTAAAAAATATATATGTTTTTAAATTTTTGAAGCAAGTGCAAGCAACAACAACAATAGAAAAAGCGGTACTTACTTATGTACAAGTATTTGCCGGTCATTAAGCGGTTTGTTATGGAAAAAAAAGAAAATAATAATTGATATTCGAAAAAGGAAAAATCACTATTTATGCTATAAGTAAAGCGCAAATTTAGTGGCAACTAACTATACATACATATATGTATGCATGAAGCATGTGAAAGGGAATAAGGTAAGCGCATAAATTGTTTAGTATATTTACGCAATTTATGATACTTAGTTGTACGTACTCGTACATCTGCACATGCATATCGTTATCTCATTACTATCCACAAAATGTTGTATTATTTTTTTTTATTATTTATGTAATTTGTTTTCCTCCCTCAACAAGTCACATTTTATATTCTATCGTGGATTTCATTTCTCATTTGTTTCTATTTTCCTGCACAATTACATAATGCAAATGTGTGTGCGATAAAATACGCACACATTCCTACACGTAGACGATTGAGTGAGTGAGTGAGCGGCTGAGCGAATCTTTGTACGTACATACATATTTACATAAATATGTATAAATGAATGAATTTTCACGTTTAAGCCAATTTTCTTGTGTCTTTGGCTAATTTTTTTTATCACTTTTTTATTTTGGCTTTCTATGACGTTTGCTTTTTCTGCGTTTTTATTTTCTTTATCTCTGCGATTCTGTTATCTTTGTGCCACAAGTGGGGCAGGAGTTTTTGGTGTGACGGGGATTTTTTTGTCTTTACATACTTAGAGTTATGTTTGCATGCATGTGCTGTGTATACACATATGTACATATGTACGCACATGCTTAGTAGAATAGATCGCCGTTGATAATTTGAGATTTATACAGGCAGCTCTAAGTAAGTAGCTTGCTGGCGGACAGCTATGCCTATGCATATGTGTGGATGTATGTATGTGTGCTTTCAGTGCATGAATTATGCAATCGGCGGAAAATAAAGTAAATTTGTATGTATTTAATTTTTGGCTCAGTTTTTGATATTACCTAAATTTTGTTGTAAATTAAATTTTTTCCAGAGATTAATAAATGTTGTATTTAAGTTTAAATATTGTGTAACTAATTTTAAATATTTAAAAGTAGTTAAATATATTTTGAAGACAATTCTGATTAATTGAGTATTTGTTGGGATAGCCAAACATTTTAATTATAAAATATTACACTTTTCGAGAAGAAAATGCATCACCAAATGAATTTACTTTATTCAAATATTCAATTTCCTCGATTATAAAAGAAAATGAGAACAGCGATGATTGAGCAGTTTTGTCATTGAAAGTTCGGAAAAAATTGTTATTCCAATTTTTAGATATGCGTCTGTAACTACATCTCAAAAGACAGATTCTATAATTCCATTATTTTCTTAATCGGAAGCTTTTAATGTTTTCGCGCTTGTTTCACGTCTTCAAAATTCCTTGAAATGCAGGGTCTACCTATTGAAAGATCTTTTGTAAGGAAGAAGTTGGAAATATATTTAAAAAAGAAAACATTTAATGATTATTCTTTCATAACACAGAAGACGGATACGCTACAAGAACTTGAAAACAGCAATAGCTTATCTCTTAATCTCATGTTCATTCTCTCTATCATAGTTCCGATCATTAAAGTTTAGCAAGTGCTAAGAGCAGCCAAAGCATTTTAACGTTTTTCAATATGCTCTACCTACATTTTACTTCCGTATATATATATGTAAGTATGTATGTTTAACAAAAAATTACTTTCGCTTTCGAAAAGTGAACCAAAATACAAAAACAAAAAATTAAAGTCCCCATTGTCAGTTCACTGTTTGTTATCGTTGAATTTATGCAGCATTAAACAAATTGAAAAAAAAAAAAAAACGAAAAGTCTGAAAGTCGAGTGACAAAAGCAGAAGTAAACACAAACGACGTCAAGTGGTATGGGGTTACCGAGTGACTTAGATTTTTGCGCGCAAAGCCAACCACCAACTTTGGAAACTTGTCTGACTAACTTTACAGACAGCTTGGCTTGCCGGTTTGCCGGCTTGACGAAAAAACATGTTTCGCACAAAAAACAATTGGAATCAAAACAAAACCGCAAAATATAGAAGTGTATCGCACTGCTTATTTTCTATGAGCATGGAAACAAAAAATATTTTTATGAAAAAGTGGTGGGAACGGATGAGTCAGGTGCTGAGCAAAGCAAAATGTAAAAAAAAATGTTTGCATACGCTTTGTTTTTCCTTCTTATCAATCTATCTTATTTCACATCTTTTCCACTATCGTTATGCCTTTCATAATCAAATTTCGCCAAAACTTAGAGCATAACATAATTATAACGCTGAAGATAAGCTCAACGCTCAAAGTCATGCCCAATTATACAATAAATTTAAGTCCTACTCATTTTTATTAGTTTTTGGGGGGAGCCTTGGCATTCGTATGGTTATCGCACAGCTGTGCCTCACTAGCCTAGCAACAACTAAAAAAGTGTAAGTATGTATCTATGTATGCGTTGGCGCTGTGCAAACAGCTGACGTATAATGGCACCTGACATCAAGAAATAAAAATAAAAATAAATAATTGTAAATCGTAAATATTTGCTTGGTTCTCATATTCCATCCCCTTTTTGTGGTTTTGCGAAAATACGCTCGAATCATGTTCATATTGTATATTGTATATGTATGTACATATACGTGTATAATAAAGCGCTTGCCGCTTATTTGTTCAATTACTGTACAAGTCAAATGATAATGCACATACATACATATATGAACATATAAACAGAGTTAATTTGTTATTATTATTAAAAATCTTATTTTGTATACACATACATATGTATAAATTTGCACAAAATCACTAATTGTTATTAGTTTCGGGTTCAATAACTGCTTATCAAAAATTCTTATGAACATAGAAAGTAGCGGCACATATATACATACTTTGCCATGTGGGCAATTCAAAAAATTGTATAACTCAATCACTAGATATCGAATAACGCAAAATTTAAATATATAAAAAAAAATTAAAAATTATTTTGTTTTAATTAAAATATATAAACACAACGCACATAGTATACATGCAGAATAACATACTCAATTATAGGCATACAAATTCTCTAGGCAACTAATATTCGAAAAATACTTTCAGCGAACTTGACAAAAAAAGGCGCCGTAGAAAACAACATAAAACAGAGTAGCAACTAAACCTACTCAAGTGCCCTCTATTATTCTTTATATGAATGATGCCAAAAAGTTGTTCAAGTTAACGGTTAGGCATCTCGATGTTTACCATTGCTGACTTTCTTTGCTGAATTTATTTCGATTTGACTTTCAGTTTCCAATTTTCTGACGAAAAATGATCTCTTATGGTCGTTTTGTGTGAAGACGTTGTCAATTTTTGTCGTAGCAGATACTGTGATCGATCAGTATGCAATGTGGTCACTTTTGTTTCTGAGAAAGTTTCTTACATGCTCAATGGAATAGAGCTAAAATAAAAGTTTTATAATATACATAATAACTAATGTCTTGGGAAAAGTATCACTTCAGGCATTTTTAATCTTCTGCACAGGAAGAGTTATCTACCGGCTGATAAAAAAAAAAATGAAAAAAAAAATCACAAGAAGTATATTGGGTTCTCATAAAAAATAAAAATAAAAAAATAAAATAAAAGTATTTACGGTCATGGCGTAGTTCATGAATATATTCGTATTTATGTTGCCCGAAATCCTAACGACTCAATGAAATGCTCTTATATGCTCTTGTTGCTGTAAATCAAAATATTGCACATTGTTCTGCGAATTATAAAGATTATTAAGTTTTTGAATCGAGTTTGTTTGCGCTGCTTTTTTTGCAACGTATTAACTCCTCATTCATCCATTCATTCATTCATTCTGGCGGCGCTCAGTGTTTGTAGTCACGTAGACACTAGCGAGCTTTTTCCAACGCAATGCTAAAGTGCTTACGGAACTGTAACTTATATGTACATACATATTGATGTAAATATGTCAAAGTGTATTGCGAATATACATATATCTAGCAGATCAAATTAAAGCGCGAGCATTTGTTTTTCTTCTTCTTTTATTTACCAGATATTCTAAGTTATATATATACATATGTATATGTATAAGTATATAGAGGTATATATGTTTGTGTATATATAAATAGATAATTAAATGCTGTTTTATCTCTATTTTAAGTGCATGTTCGTAACGTGTTAGAATTCACCTTACATTCCGGAATTTCACCAATTGCAGAAATTATTACAAGCACAAACTCACGGAAATTAATAAGAAGCCAAATAATAATAATATAAAATTTAAAAAATTCAAATAAAAAGGAAAAAAATTTAATTAAATTAAAATAAGATTAAGAAAAAATAAAAAATAAGATAAAATTATTTAAAAGGTCGCAGCCGTAATTTGAAAGGGTTTCAGAGCTATTCAATTGAACTCAAACCAATAAATAAATAATATCAATGACTGTTTGCATGTTTTTAATACTTGGACTAATATATTGTGAAGTAATGTGAACCGATGAAAACCCGTTATTCAAATTCTACGGGCGCACTAAAATGCAGCGCTCTTCAGTGAATCCAGGGTCCGAAGTATATTTCCGAAACTCATGGAACGCAATGTCTCTACTAGAGTACTCATGCAAATAATTTTTGCCTAATTGATGTTTTAACTTTTCAAAGCAAAAAAAAAATATATATATATATTAAATTCACACAAAGTTGATTGGCGAAACAGCGTGAACGAAGAATAAGAGTATAGGGTAATTTTGGTGTATGTTCTATTTCTTTTTATACGTTGTTTGTTGTTTGTTTTGCCAGTCCACAAGAGTCGGGCAATCACGTGGTGAGACTAATGATTATGCCTTTACTGAGAAAGTAATTTGCGTTTGACGGACATGAAGGTGGGTAAGATGTGTGAAACGTAAGGGAAAACAGAGGCATAAAACACGCACAATCACAAACTTATACCCTCATGTGTATGCATATATACACAAAATGTGTTTAGAGTGGGAAGTGCCGTAGATATGCACTAAATAGATACGTTGATGCTTACGCAACGGAACTGCTAAGTATTTTAAAATATTGTTTGTGTTCTCTCTACGACTTGTTTACCGAAAGAAAAACTTTCGAAAGCAGATACCTAAAAACAAAATTAACGCATCAATACAAAAATAAATACCTGACATATACATATTCAAAGATATCTCCTCTAAGGAACTAAGTATT